GGGGAGGGGGGGGGAGCCACGTCAAAGTGCTTCGAGGAAATCGCGACGAAGGGGTCGTATGTTGCGTGAAGGCAGAGGGGGTGGGTCGTAAGTACAGGCGTCAATAATGAGCAAAGCTGTGGCAGAACTAGTGAAGCACTGCATCGCTTTCGTGCCTCGCCGTGGAGTGCCGTAACTCCGTCGGATTGCAATTTTCAAAAATGGATCAAATTGATGTAGTGTAAATGAAACTACATAGCTATTATAGAAAGTGATGCTTGTCTAAGTATGATAACGGAACCATCAGCTGTACGACAAGGTTGTTCTTTCTATATAAAGCGCGTACAAGGTCGTTTTTCTATATAAAGCGCGTATTCTATGGGTCCATATTTCTATGTCACTGTGATCTTGCAAGACGAACAAGTGGCGCGTTACATAGGAAGGTTGATCAGCGCTCCTGTGCTTCAAGTTTCATTCTTATCAAGCGAAAGAGAAGAAAGCCTTACTAGGTTCGGATGAAGTGTGGGCTTGTGGTAATTGTAGAGAAGCTTCTTGTTGCAGCTTTATAAAACTCTCGGATCAAAAACCGCGCCGAGTGTTCTTTGATATACTAGGCTTAAAATATATAATGTCCTCAATAGAAGGAGGAAAATTTCCATTTCTCAACTTCGTCTAGTTTTGCGGTCTAAGTTATGTTGGAACTAACTCATGTCCATGAAAAAACAAAAATTCGCTTCTATCGAGAACCTCTCGCTCTGGACCGAGGCCGCATAAACACTTCTCTCTGTTGCGAGTCACACCGAACGGGTGATTTTTTGCTGTATTGCCAGGTCCTGGGGGCATCGCAAATGCGTATTCCTCCTCCTAAAAGAGACATGAGCCTGGATCGCGTCGATCGCGACCCTTGTCGTATGAGCTGATGTTATCTATGCCAGAGAAGAGCAAGTTAAATTAATTAGCGCTTTACAGTTGGCGCAGCAGCCGCAGCTGTGAATGCACATTAGACGTGCATTACGGTAGCAGCAGTTAGTACGCAATTGCACGGCGTGATTGGTGGTATTTATATATAACATCCAGTAATCAACAAGGCTCTAAATGAGCAAAAGTTTTACCGATCAGTCGTGATTCGAGAATGCGCGCCTTGCAGGCAGTGTGCACTTGAAAGCAAAAGGCGGCAATACTGCAAGGATTTCAGGAAAACATACGACGGAACCGATTTCAACGCGAAGATAAAAATACGGCCAGGAAAGGTGCCCCATCATGCCGCATGTCTCCGGACCTCACCGAGGAATCCAATATCTAGTGTTGCAGTGGACTGAAATGCCCTCCCGCTACCCAATAAATCAGGATTTTCTAGTATCTGAACGATGTCCGGCTGACACTATAAAACATAGAATCTGAAAGGAAATCTTCAGAAGCGGTGATGAATAATGTCGCGAGACTAGGCTATTCAGGAAATAATGGACCTCTGAAGTGGTCATACGTGGAAACTTATTCGGTATCCCAGTATCAAAACAGAACAGGTTTCTCAGTTGTACAAAACTCACTTTCACTGAAGTGATAGCGAATGGCAAAATGGAAATCGCAAAATTCGAGTAAGCTTGAAATGAGTATTTGTGAAGACATCGCATTACGACCACTTGCGCGAGACGTAACTCGACGTAACATGACACGAATTTTGCACGGCGGTGCGCTCGCCAGATACAAATGGAGGATTTTCCATCAAAAAGAAGGGGGCTTTTCGGAGCTATGTCTTGATTTGCCCTATACTTATCGACTCTAAGTTTTCTCCCTGGAGATGCAAGAAGGATTCATCGTTTTCTGCTATCTATGAAATATGGGATAGGTAAAATATCTAATTTTAGGAGTTTGAAGGTAACAACTGTTCTAACGGAGAAACTGACTTTGAAAATCCTGTTGTGGAAAGAAAGCGCAGTAGGGCAAATTTAGATGTATTGGTGGGGTTAAAGGTCCCACTAAAACGACAGCGCTATTCCGACAAGGGTACATCACTCGTTGTGATAAACATGGGAACGGAGGGGGTCCTAGTTTGGGCCGGTGGGAGGCGTAAGTCCTAATTGTCCGGAAGAAGTTTTTTTTCTTCCCATCCTTCTTCTTTCATTTGGTCAAACTGCTCCCCTCCTTTGTCTCTCTGCTTACGATCGCTTCTGAACAGAAATTTCCCCGCTGCTGGAATAGAGCCTGAACCCCAGCACCGATCTCCATGAGTAGCTTGTAGAGAGTAGATCCGAAGGGTAGTGACTGCACTCAGCTGTTTTCCACCGGAATAACCGTTACATCGGGAATATGTTCCCTCTCTCGTACTTTCCGTATCCCAGAGATTGGGTGGGCGTGGCCAGGCACTTCACTCGAGGGGGTGAGAGCGACCGCGTTCTTTGTGGGATATTGTCGTTTTGGGACTGTTATCATCATGCCGTTGATGACAGCTGGCCCGAAGGGCAACATCCCACAAAAAACGCGGTCCGTCTCGTTCAGATACAGTACGCTGCAACACATCCTATTTCCGGGGATATGAGGTGTAGAAGAAGCCAAATAAGCGCTTCTCAAATTGCCATTTCCCTTCATGTCCGACAGAGTACTGCTAAGTAGGCTAGTCCAAACGCAGTACCAGGCCATTTCGTAGTCCAGAAAAGACTCCCCATAAGGTGAACCACTTTTGACGACCTCTTCCTACACAAGGAATTGATTCGCATAAGCTTAGGAACGCACTCAACCCGCGGCCCTTATGGCACAAAAATTTCACCCAATATAAGGAACAATCGATTATTGTGTTGGAAATAAAACTCGTTCCACTTTGTGCCTTTTCAGAACTGCACCAAAATAACCCGTGACATTTACGGGACATTACGATGATGTTTATTAGACTAGTACCAAGAATAATTATATAAGTAATGTTTTATAACTCAACTGTATAAAATACATAGTACATCATAACGAAGAGACCACAAATAGCGAGGTTACAGTTCTCCTCAACTCGATGACGAAATATCCTAAAGGGCGGAATTATGGCTTTTATAGGGGTTACACTGGGCAACAAGTCTTGACAAGTCTAAACTTGACACTCTGGTTGTGGTTATCCTTTCTTGGAGAGTTTTGACAAGTCTATATGAAAGATGCGGGGAAGATGCAACCGACAAGTCTCAACAAGTTCTCGGAAGGCGGCGCAGCTTTTGCTGGGGGGCAGGGGGGGGGGGGCTATGAATCTAGAGGAGGACTGTTTCCACAGAGTTCAGTGAGCGATTAGAAATTTGGGCGCGTCTTGTCATCGTGTTTACTACGAACGTTTGAATGGACTGTTCTCTGTGAGCGATAAGACGAATTGAAATTTCATAATAGTTTAGATCGAAGAGCCCTCCAGACCTCATGAATTATGCCGTCCGATGATGACTTCTGTTCACCGAAGCCTCCGATTCCGTTTCTGGCCGCTCCACGGTAAACCGCTTTTTCTAAAACAATTCATATTAATACCTGGAATTTCTTTTTTCAGGCGACCTGAGAAGAAAGGTGATGTCCAATCGATTCCTATCGTTTCTGTCGCGGGTTCGAGTCTTTACTCTGAATTTTGTGGTGGGAAAGATGGTAAGTGCAACTTGGTTTGTTTCCTTCTGCCAAAGGTTAAGTAGAGCATTTAGGGAGACGGTCAAGACAATCGTAATTTACAGCTCGGTCGCGCGCGGCACATCATGCTGCGGTGCAGAGACTGCATGTCTAAGAATAGGGTTCTTTTATATCTCTTAACTTTGAAATCAAACGGCCAGGCAGAACAACTTGAAATCACACGGCCAGGCAGAACAACTCGTCTCCCGCGTGCGCGCATACGACTCTCATTGGTTCGCCCATTTTCCAATCTTGTTGCCCAGTTGCTGTTAACTTTTTGCATATTATGGGTATGGGCTTAAGGGAAAATGATTTCAGAAAATGCATCAGGATCAGATAACCAATTAAGCGACACCTGTGCTATTTGTTCTAAGAATCTTTCACATTTGAATGACATCAGAAAGTAAGTTTTTCTATCGTTTTTGCAGTCTTTTATTCTAGGAACGACATACATTTTGTCTTGTCAGTGTGTGTCATTTTCAATGCGAGAAAGCCGTTTTCCTTCATTAAATTTGTGTAAGCGGCTGAGTTAAAGCCTGGGAGCGTACATGTGTTCATACTTCGCGATCCGCTCACGCGATTGAAGCGGTCTGATCGAACGCATGAACGCGCTGTCATACATCATTCGGTTTGCAACATACTGGTGAACGCGCTTATTTGCTCAATTATTATTTTCCACTACTAGGAGATTAGATAAAAGTTGGGCTGGTCGTGTGTACACTCGAAAGTGCCTGGTAAGAACGTCTGAGCCTTGAGACTGAGCTCTGACGATTCCTTCTTCAGTCTGACACCACCCATAACAGGTAGAAATTCAACCATGCGTGACTGTGCGCTCTACAACGCCTGGTAAGGGCCCTTGCATCCCTATTCACTCCATGCTCGTCCAACAGATAATCGAGCCTAATTCGAGCGTTTTCGGCGAACTCTCTAGCTTTGCTCTTTTCCGGTAAGTCGGTTCACACCTGCAAAATCATTTGAAGCCCGGCATAAATCCATTACTTGCAATCGCAGAATGTGCCCTCAAGTCCTCAGAATAGCTTTTGTCGCATAGTCCTGACCTGTATTTCGTAGACTAATCTTTACCAAAATCTCCCCACATAGTGCCACCAAAACTCTGCACCATACACTGTTTATAGAAACATGATCTCCAAAATTTAGTAAGTTGTTTTCCTAGTTGATAGTCGTCATCTTAGAGTTGCTCATGTGAATAAATGTTTGGACGCTCAAGAATCATCGTCAAATCATGTGAAAGCCAAAGAAAAATGGAGCAATACCATAGATTGTCCTATGTGTGGAGAACCACAACCTCCCGGGCCTGTGAGTTTTTGATCATTCACCTTTTTTGAACCGTTTTGCCTTGACTGATCTCAGTTTCGATTTTTGTAAGAAGTTTTATGCAACTTTATTTTCCACCTAAACTAGTGTTCATACCTAACATTACTGAGTCCACCTAAGGAAAAATATATGAATCGATCTGGTGATTTGGAAGTTCTACGTGCTCTTTTTAAGCATCGAGCAGCCCACGCGAAGCGATGTGGTAAAACCTACAACATAGCACCGAAGGAGTTGCTCAAGCTGATGGAGACACAGCGCCGTGTTTCTGACGTCAAAAAGCAGCATAGTATGATACATACCAAGTAAGTGTTCAGGCTTGCCTTGTATCTCGCAAGAATGCTTGAAAATTAATTTTTGTAGAGCACCTATTCCTCAAAAGAAGGAGGTCCAACCACTGAAGTTAGAAGGCGAACCAAAGTCGTTGCTCGATGAACATCTTCAACTCGCCAAAGCGCTCTCGGTCAGTATGGACTCACAAGCAACCCAGGATACTTCACCGCAATTCACAAGGTATGTGATTCGCTATTAAACTTTCACTTAGCACGCTGAGCGCCTTTAGTAAGGTGGGGCAGTAGTGGTACACCCACCATCTCGGTCTGAGGAGTACAACTCGGCCCACTGAGCTGTGTAAACTTTCTCCTTTTGTCTGTTCCCCCAGCTTGGAGTGCGTTCATGCTCCGCGATCCAATCGCTTGGATCGCGCAATATCCCGCAAATTTACTCGCGTTTATGCACTGAGTGGACGCCGCCTCTTTGACCTCTGCCGTTGCGCCGGTCCACCAATTGGCGGTGGAGCGCCACCGGTCGATCGCGCGATCCAAACCGTCTGATCGCGAAGTATGGACGCGGTCTTGCGGTCAGGTAGCGT